ATCATTGTGTACTTTTTAGGAAGTCATTTGTATTTTATTCATTTACTTTGTAGGACATTGATGCAACGTCCTACTACTAAATCTCATTTGTATTGGCGATCCACTCCGCTAGGATTGTCATAAAAATGACTCTAGTTAAGTGGTAAAATCTGGAAAAATTTCTGACCCATCGTTGCCATAGCAACAGCAAAAAAACTGAGTTTTGAATAGCTTCGCACCAAATGCATCTCCTCCTGCGAATCTAGGACTAAAAATCAGCTTGTGTGTGGGCCCACATTTATTTTTTGTTTTTTTTATATCTTTTTTTATTACCGAAGGATTTGACCTCAAAGCTAGAATAACTTTACGCCAGTAACACCATTTTAACTTTTCTGTGATGTTTTTGGCTGGGCCCAAAATTGTTCATACTTGAAGGCAGGTCACACCGACACTCTAATTGGGTGGTAAAATCGTAAAATATACCTGGCCCACCGTTGCCATGGCAACGGCAAAAAATAATGTTGATGGATTCGTGCCAAATGTATCTTATCCTACAATTCTATTACTTAACACCTTAGACATAACTTATTCTACTCATAAAAAATGATGGTCGACCGTTGCCATGGCAACAGCAACAAATGATTCTGGAATACTTTCGCTCTAAATGTGTTACCTCCTACCATTCTTGTAATAGCAGAGTTCAAATGGTCATGCTTTAATTTTATTTTGCCTAGCTGTGCACCGACGAGAGATCATCGGCATTGTTACACTGTATAAACGTAATCCAAACACAACTTTGAATGAACTGTGAATGCTGCGTTCAATAAAAAAAATCGCAATCGCAAAAAAAATGGTTATACCAGCAGAATACGCGTTAGTAATTAGGTGAAGTGACTTTTAAAGACTGAGTGCGCTGCGAACATCGTATACGCGGCCCTGATTTTAGTTATAAACCGACGTTTGCTTCACGTTCATGTCCTACCATGGCAACAGCCGAAAACATTTCGTTTGTTTTTTTGAGCGGAGCGGATCGCCAACCAGCCAACCGGCTTGTCTTTATTGTTTGTTTGCCTTGGCGGATACGGTACTTTTTATACACATTGGTAGGGTAGTCCAAGTAAAGTTCAATCTCTAATAATGTGCGCTCATCATTCAGATCCGATTATGTGAAGTTATGTTTAGAACATTGAAATGCATTATTCTTTATTTGGTTAGGAATGATATATTTGCTTCATTTCAAATATCTTCTAATATGAATATTAATGTCATGTTATCCTAGTACAAACCTAGTCTAAGCTTAAGGTATTGACATATTTGCTGCAGTTATAATCAAACGGGTACCAATACATGGACAAGTTGGAAAGAACCTGGCGGTGAACTAGAGAACAATGTGCCTATGCTACTTTCGGAGTAAAACAGAATGAAATGTACTTCGTGATGAGTAAGCTAAAAAATAGGTATTTTGTTATTCTGATTAATGAAAGTGACCCAAAGCTATTATTTTATATTTCCACGAATCTGTGGCACAGTGTGACGAGTATACCATATCCTAAAAATCACATTCCGTTAAAAATTATGCTTCATAAAACTCACTTATAGGATTAGACATTAGTTTCTTACAGAAAAGTTCCATTTTATTCCTAAAACAACCTACAGTAAGCGGGCGGGTTGTCAAGTCAATTATGAGGCTTGACAGTAAAACGTGTTATCACATGGTGCGATCACGTGATTACCAGCAATTTTATCTCAGCGGTTTAAGTACTAGACACTAAAACAGCTTGAGTTTGAATACAATGTGTTTATGGAATTCATGATATATATACTGAAAGCGGGGGT